AACTTGTCTCTAATCCTAATGTAACAGAAATGATTAGGATTAGAGACAAGAGTATTCTTGAGGCAACTGGGAAATGAATTAAATTATGGCTTTTATCCACATTTCCATCTTTGGTAGAAAGAATAGAGGTTGATCAATGTTAATTTCTCTTTTATATACCCTAGGTGACCTAGCTCTTTCTTTTTCTGAAGGGGACTTTTCACCCACATGAGCCCTTCAATTTACAGACACAAGATCTAAAGAATGGCCTCAAAGCAGCTTCATTCCTCTAAACATTCCCTAGACTCAGAAATGTTTTAGTATCTTTTTTAAGAAAAATTAATAAAAATGCATTGTATTCATTTGTTTGAACTACTTGCCATTGATGTTTATTCACCACAGAGGAAAATAATAAATCTTTTTAGAAATATATATATAGAATTAAATGTACTGAATTTTTCCTGGGAATGTAATTCTAAATTTGGTCCCATGTTGCTTATCTAGCAAAGCAATAGGCTCAAATGTTTAAAAATAGTTTGATGGATAGCAATTTTTGGAACTGTGTCAGGGACAGAATTTAGACAGAGATTGGCTTTTATAGAATGCTTAAACCAGTTATTTTCAAACTTTTTGGCAGTGACCCACAGAACACATTTGATTTTACAATTCACTATAGGCAAAACTTAAAACACATATACAAATATATAACATAGATACACAGGAAAATTAAAAGGGTTTCATAAAGCATTCTTATAATACAGAATTCACGTGATATTTTGTATTATTTTCATTTAGAGAATAAATTTGTCATTTCCTGTTTATTATATTTATTCAGAACCTGTTAGTGTGGTTATGACCTGCAATCCGAACAACACTACTTTAAACTCTGGTTCTGGCACGGTATATGTTAGATCTGTTTTCACATAGGCTAAGAAACCAAATTTTCCCATGATTTCTCTAGGAAAGAAAACGTTTTTTAAGTTCTAAAGTCAATTTGCAAACAACTTGCAGAATCAGTTCATTCATATACAATGATCCAGCTACACTTCCTTCAAAATGTCAATTTTTTAAAGCAGCACATACCCATAGTTTTACATCACCCATGCTTGGAGAATAACTCAAAACAGAAGCCTTAAACTACTCTGTTCAGTGTCACATTACAGTTATATAATTGTATATGTCTCTGTTCACAACATTGTTTTTCCAGAGTATAAAAAGCAGAGAAAGTTAAATCTAACATCTGTGGATACACTGTGGGAAATAAAGAAATACTGTAGGAAGACAGTTTTAGAAATTTACTTACTTCTAAAGTGTGATGATTTATTTTCAAATAACAATTTGAATCACTCTTAATGACAATTTTGCGATATTTTGCACCTACTCTTAGCAGCAAAGGAGTTAACAAAGGGAATTAACAAAACATTTATTCTTATCTAGACAATATTCTTTCAGCAAATATGGTGAAATGCTCATTAAAATCTCACATGTTTAGAGACCACAGTGCATTAATAGGAATTCAATTAAGTACTTATTGCTTTTGTCATTTAAAGTAAGTTAACCAGATGGCATGAAATTCTCCAAAAGAGATTTTAAACAAACAATGGAGATTTAATTAATATGCACCAGTTAACTCAATAAATATATAACAACTAGCTCATTAAACTTAAGGTAAATACTTATTTGAGATGAATTGTCTAATTTTCACATTTATCTTCATTTTGCTTGACTGTGATAAATAGTAATTTTTGAAAGCTAAGACATTTGAAAGTACAAATATTTTGTATTTCCCATAATTCTTTCACAATGCTAAAAGGGAAATTGACATTATTTTCACTGAATATGCAGAATTGAATTACTACATAATAACAACAACCAAATGATTTTAATTTTTATTTAAACTTAGTCATATCAATACACATGTGCTACCTTAGAACCAAAAAATAATCGTTTCTCTTTCATTGTTAGTACCTTTACATAAATTACACAGTAATATTCTCAGAAAATTTTAAATACCTAACTTTTCTACTTTATGACTCTGTGTTACTTATATTAAAATGAAGTTTTGTACCTTTGAACAAAAAATTGCTATTCTTCATTTGGTGAGATTATCATTATTGTCCTTTGATTAAAATGACCAGGAAAGGAATAAAGTGTAGGAAAATACAGGCTAACCAGACATACTGCCCAGGAAAGTATGACAAGTTAAGAGGAGGCAGATCTTGTAGACAGTGTATTAGATGTCCATGAATATGGGCTGCTTGTTTACATAACTCTTAAGATTTTAAGTACTTCATATTTTATATACTCAAACTAATGGAATATTTGGACCTACTTGCTTTGAAGTGTCTCACAATTGGGACTCATGAAAACTATATATTATAGTGATAAAAATCTACTTCATATCTATGGACCTAATCCTTTTCTTAGAACATACTCTGGTAAAAGATGCCTACTATGAGTTTTCCATTTATATTAACTCATCTTACAACTAAATTCCTATTTTCAGCTTCACAGTATATATTAATGAATGAATTTTATTTATAACATTTTCTTCTGCCCTTGTTACACACACACACAAACACACACACACACACACACCATATAATTTGTTTATTTGTTGTTTTTTGCTTTTTTTTTTTTTGATGAAGTCTCACTCTATCACCCAGGCTGGAGTACAGTGGTGTGATCTTGTCTCACCACTACAACCTCCACCTCCCAGGTTCAAGCAATTCTCCTGCCTCAGCCTTCCAAGTAGCTGGGATTATAGGCACGTGCCACCACACCTGGTTACATTTTGTACTTTTTAGCAGAGATGGGGTTTCACCATGTTGGCCATGCTGGTCTCAAAACTCCTGACCTCAAGTGAACCACCCGTCTCAGTCTCCCAAAGTGCTGGGATTACAGGCGTGAGCCACTGCACACTGCCTGTTGTATTTACTATTCATTTTTCTAAATCCCATTACCAGAATATCAATTGTATAAAATAAATTTTTTCTTCACTTAGGTTAGATTTTTAACCCTTAAACTATGCATGGTATATTGTAGACATTCAGTAAATGTTTACTTATTAAATAAAGAAATACATGCATACTTTTTAATAATCAAATACTACAAAAACTGTTAGTAAAAAAATTTGAAGGGAGAACGACATTATCTACCTCTTGCCCCACTCATTTTATTTCTGGTTTTATTTGCATATACAATTATGTATTCTTCTATTAGTTAAAATTATGTCACTAAAAAGAAAACCTACCAATGGTATAGTTACATATCCATTATAAAGTCACATATTAATACTCATTATAGAAGAAAAGAATTTAATTTTACTTATACTCTCCAGTTTCACTTTTTCCCTGTATTCTATTTGTTGAATGTTAAAACATAAATTTTAGAGTTTAAATAAAATTTTTACATTATAGACTTAAATCTCAACTTTCGTCCAATCAAATTTTTATAGTATATCAAATTACTACTATATAAGGTTCCATTTTCTTCAATTCTCCTCTTCCACCACCCAATGTTCATGAGCTATACTTTTCATTGACATTGTCAAGGTTATAATATGTACACGCTCATTTGCAATCATAAGTATGCCATCTGTGTTTTGCCTATAAGGTAACTGCAGATGATAAAGTCTAGTGTAAAACTTAATAATCCAATGTTTGTTTACAACAGAGTGGCAGTCTAGATTCTAGCAAAGACATTCCCCTGTAAGTAAATATAATCTTTCATTAGGTGTCTTTTTTTTTTTTTACATCTTTCTGAGTTGAAATAAAGTGAATGATTCTTCAATGTCCAAAATGATGTTAAGATAGGAAATTAAAGTAGAAAACTAAAATTAGAAAGCTGGAAGTTATGTAAATAACAAGCTGGCTTTCACCCTGATAAGTCTTGCCCTGGAGTCTTTAGACTTCTCTTTTGATGGCTGCCTCAGGCACAGGGATAAAATAAAGCCTGTAGAAAATATAAAATGAAATGTCTAAACAGAAAATCCCCATATAAAACTAGGTTAAAACCTCAATATAAGGTATACAAGAACTAATTTTCCTCTGCAGAGGACTCATCAAACGGACTGGCTTGAATAATGTCATGGGACAATTCTTAAACAGAATATCAGTTGCATATAGATTTGTGCTTAAAAGGAACCAACCCAAATGCCCATCAATGATGAGACTGGACAGGGAAAATGTGACTCATATACACCATGGAATATTATGCAACCATCAAAAACGATGAGTTTGTGTCCTTTGTAGGGACATGCATGAACCTGGAGACCATCATCCTGAGCAAACTGACACAAGAACAGAAAATTAAATACTGCATGTTCTTACTCATAGGTGGGTGTTGAACAATGAGAACACATGGACACAGGGAGCAGAGCACTACACACTGGGGTCTGTTGGGGGGAATAGAGGAGGGACAGCGGAGGGTGGGGAGTTGGGGAGAGATAACATGGGGAGAAATGCCAGATATAGGTGAAGGGGAGGAAGGCAGCAAATCACACTGCCACGTGTGTACCTATGCAACTATCTTGCATGTTCTTCACATGGACCCCAAAACCTAAAATGCAATAAAAATAAATTAAAATAAAAAATAAAAGTTTGCACTATTTATATGGTCTTGAAAACTTCAACTCTAACATTAGTATAAGGTATTCACAGAATGATCATTGCTCTAGAGTTGAAAGAAGCCAATGCAAATCCTTTCTGAAAGAACCTACTCTCATCTCTGGTGTCTAGTATAAGAGGAAAAGCAGGGAATTGAGATCAGGTAAGCTTATTCAGAACATCTCTACCATGCATACTTACCTGAGTGGCAGGTATATGAGTCCTCACAGAGAGATACTACACTGTGCATAAAAGTTTTGGCCAGGAGCAGTGTCTCATGATTGCAATCCCAGCACTGTGAGAGGCTGAGGTGGGCGGATCACAAGGTCAAGAGATTGAGACTATCCTGGCCAGTATGGTGAAACCCCATCCCTACTAAAAACACAAAAGTAAGCTGGGCATGGTAGTGCATACCTGTAGTCCCAGCTACTCAGGAAGCTGAGGCAGGAGAATCTCATGATCCCAGAAGGCGGAAGTTTCAGTGAGCCAAAATCACCCTACTGCACTCCAGCCTGGTGACAGAGTGAGACTTCATCTAAAAAAAAATTAAATTTTACAGTATTGTGGACAAATAATTTATTATTTTTAACCAAAACTAATGCCTGGCATTTATACTATTAATAATGAACTGTTAATACGAGCTAATATTTATGGAGTGTGTCATGTGATCTTCATGTTGTGATAACACTTTTTATGAATTATTTAAAATGTCTGAAAATAATCTTTTATAATAAGTATACTATTTTACAGATTATAGAGAAATGAAACACTGGCTTAAGGCCACACAAGTAGTTAATGGTAGAGTCAGGATTTCTGTCTTTATTATGACTTAGTAAGAACAAGCTATGTAATGGAATCATGTTCCCTCCTGCCTGGGTCCAGTGTCAGAACACCTGCTCTATTCAAGAATAATGATAATGGTGGCAATGTCAAATGAACCATCTTTCCTGAAGTTCTCTTACTTATTCTAAAACTTTCAGTGGGTTTCAGGCTGTGATTTGTACGTTTCACATTTGATTTAAATTTTCATGCATTTTACCTGATAAAAATGATTGCCAATAAGAAATTTTTAAAAATACAGAGACCGAAAATATCATGAAGGTAGGGTGTGGGTTAAATTTAAGACAGTGGCAGGAAAATGGAATGGAAATAGTGCTTTCTCTTGAGCCCATGCTGCCATGGGTATTTTGCTATATGTTTTGTTTTGTTTCACTTCAGCATCAGTAAGAGTATCAATTCTTTATCCACTATTGCTGTCTTACTCTCGTCTTCTGATTCCAGAATCAGCTTACCTAAAATATAGAATTGTTACAAGAAACAGGTGTGTTATCAAGTTATCTTGATGATAAAAGTGCTTTGGAAAGTACCATCATGAATACAATCAGATTAGGCAATGTTCTTCTGCTCATTATCCCAGACATATACTTAATTTTTATATCATTAGCATCTTAGTCATCTTTATTTTATTAAGCATATTAATGCCCCAGAGCTAAAATGCAATGCCCCTTTATCCTTTTTTATTATCACATAGCTCCATAAAATTTAAGTCTCCTACAGTCTTAAAAATGTTTTACTCATATAATTGGGGTCACTTTGCTATGATATTAAAACATTCTTAGAGACAAAGTTCACTTCAGCAAGAATTTTTTAAGCACCATATTGATATTTTGAGGTATTCAAATGAGCAGAAGCCATAAACATCCCTCTTTGGTTCACAGTCTGTAGGTAGGAAAAGATGTTGATATAACAGACTTCCATAGGATAGTAAATCAAAAATTAGTTAGGATTTTAATAACTTTGGTGGTTTTAAAACTTGTGTGAAGATTCTTAGACACTTTGTAGCAAAATCAGAAAGTTAATTTTCCTTCTCTTCAATATGATCCAGCTTTAATGACTTCCTTTAAATGAACCAAATATGGCAGGAGTGATGCTGTATGAGGCTAAGTCTTTAGAAATGACACATCTATCCTGTTTCTCACTTCCTGTACAGGCACCTTTTGATCCCTGAGCTACTATGTAAAAGTTTGGCTACCCTGAAGCCAGTGTAATGGAGACATGTGAAGAAACAGAAAGCAATGACCAGCGAGCACCAGCTATTTCAGGAGTGACTTGTCTGAGACTTCCTTGCTCAACTCCAGATATGTGAGTGTATGAGCCTTCAGATAATTCTATCCCAGCTCCAATTCTTCTACAACCTCATAAAAGACATTAGAGAGAATCATTGAGCTGAGTTTAATCAACATCTAGAACCATGAGAGAGAATAATAAAGTAATTATTGTTGTTTTAAACCACTAAATTTGGTAATTTGCTCTACCACAAGAGATCATCAATTATTCAACTTAGCAATTATAGACACTCAGGAAACAGCATGGTAATTATGGGCAAAAGATATCTGCTTACTGCAGATAGAAAGCCAGTGAAATAAAGCATCTGTATTGAAACTGTCTGTGCTTTTAATACAGATGCTTTATTTCACTGGCTTTCTATCTGTAGTAATGATAAAACAACATTTATTCAGAATGTCTGATAATTTGAACTGCTGAGAGTAATTAGTAATCTATTAACTATATAGATAATAAATTTTAGAAGATTTATAATTTGATTATAACATTTCTGCCCTGAAGCATTTTAGGATATTTTGGGTCATTCAAATACATATTGCTGTTATTATACATTTAAAAGGCTCATGTGATTTGTCTCCAAAGTATATCCAAAGGATAGATCGAATATACCTGTATATCTTAATGTAAAGAACCGAAACATATGCTGTAGTGACTCAATTAACAATGCGGAGTTAATAAGAAATCAATGAAATCATTTATGCTCTTCAATTTTTAAAGTATTTTAGGAGTTTTCCAGATGCTGTTATACACACTGTCTTATTTAATCCTTACAATAACTTTATGAGACATGTACTATTATTCCCAATTTGTACTTTAATAAATGAAGGCTCAAAGAACTTAAACATTAAACCCAAATTGACATAGGTAGTAAATTACAAACCAATACTCTAAACCAGAGCTCCTGATCCTCATCCCAGCATTCTCTCCAATATATCAAAATTATTTCTCCTAATCCTTTTTTTAAAAATCCAGTAGATACCCCAGAAGTTGTTGTTTAAAACAAATTCAATGAAGTCTATGATGTTCTATGTGTGTAATATTTATGTACATAAATATGTATATGTGTATAATATACAGTTTATAGTCCTGCATTTCATGTTTTGGTCAGTAATGAACCATGTATATGATTGTGGTTCTATAAGATTATAATGGAGTCAAAAAAATTTCTATCACCTAGTGACATCATATGTATCATAATGTAGCACAATGCACTACTCACATTGTTGTGATGTTTATGTAAACAAATCTACTTTTCTGCCAATATATAAAATTATAGCACATACAATTATATATAATACATAATTTTTACAATGATAATCAACAACCATGTTACTGATTTATGTATTTATTATACTCTACTTTTCAGTGCTTTTTTAGAGTATACTCCTTCTACCAGAGTAGAAAAAAGTAAACTGTAAAACAGCCTCAGGCTGGTCCTTTAGGAGGTATTCCAAAGGTTGTTATCATACTAGATGACAGCTCCATGCATGCATGTTATTGTCCCTGAAGACCTTCCAGAGGGACAAGATGTGGAGGTAGTAAGCCTTTAAAAGGAACAATAAAATATAATCAAAAGAAGTAATTTAAAAAAGGAAGTGATTAAAAAGGGAAAAATACATGTAGGAAATGAAAAAAAAGAACAGAAAAAAGCAGGGGTCCTGGAAGTACAATTCAGCCTTGCAGACCTGCTCTGTAAACAGCTTGTGACAAGTGGCTTCTGTTTGAGAGGATTGATGGCTCAGGGATGGGCCTCTGGGAGCCAAGGAACCTGCCAGTTTACTATCATGACAGAGCTGTTTCTTCTCCACAGCCCAACAGCTATGTCACCTAAGCAGCTTCAACTGCTATGTCTGAGACTCTAGGGTCCAAGAATTTCCACTTTTCCTTAAGAACAAACTTATGGGGAAAAAGATATAGAGTATTTTTTTTTATTTTACCAAACCTAATTACTTTTCAAAATACCCAAAATATTTTTTCAAAATGTTACTTTCTGAAGGTAATATTATGAAACCTAAACTGAAAAATAAGCTCATCAGAGGGATTTTTCCTTTTTTTCCCCTAAAACACACAAGTATATGGATTGAAGGGAAGTGCTGCTACATAAACAGAATTCAGAGGGAAGTGTGTGTGTGTGAAGAATGTTTTTGGAGCCTTAAATGTTTCCGAAAATATTCTGTTGGGTTAAGGTGCTGATTTGGGAAACACTTAAGTAGCAAGCCCATTTCCCATTCTGGGTGATCTCAGAGCCTTTTATAGACCTCTTACCATGGTGAAAAATAAGTGATTCACTTGAAGGTCAAGTTTCTGAAAAGAAGAGACTTGGCCAGGCTCTTCTTGGTTCTTCTCAGGGGCACAAACCCGATTCTGGCAGCACCTTCATTTAACAGGCTGCATGGAGGACTGGAAAGCCGATTGGTTACTGGAATTATACTCTATCCCCACATGTAATTATAACTGCTGGGTTAAAGGGCTAATGTTAGCACTAATCAAAGATACCTTTCTTAAAGCCTTTCTCTTGAGAGTTCATAAATGTCTAGTAAAAAAAAAAAGTCACAGCGGCCAAGCCTGTGGCTCACACCTAGCACTTTGGGAAGCTGAGGCAGGCGATCATCTGAGGTCAGAGTTCGAGACCAGCCTAACCAACATGGTGAAACTCTGTCTTTACTAAAAAGACAAAAAATTAGCCTGGCATGGTGGCACACGCCTGTAATCTCAGCTACTTGGTAGGCTAAAACAGGAGAATCACTTTAACCTGGGAGCTGGAGGTTTCAGTGAGCTGAGATTACACCATTGCACTCCAGCCTGGGCAACAGGAATAAAACTCCATCTCAAAAAAAGAAAAAGAAAAGTAGTTTTTGAAATTACTGTGTGCATAAAACCTTACTCTATCACCGAGTGACTTCCTTGACTGTCCTATATATCGTGCTTAGCAATGTGCTAGCTTTGAGGAAGAAGTGCTTGAGTCTTAATTCCTACTTTGTATCTCATTTGCATGTCCCACTAAAATCTTTCTACTCCCCCACCCACCTTTTGCCCTGCTTTCATCTAGGAGCTCTCCTATCACAGTCAGCAGTGAAGGCCTCTCTGTTCTTAGCCTGGCTTACAAGTTTGTCTTTGTTGAGATAAACCACTCTACAGCCTGTGTTCTGATTACTTCACTAATCACTTGATTCCTAACCAACAGTCAAATTTGTCAAAAGAAGTTTTAGGGCCTGAAGAAATTAGTGGGTGTCTGTTCATTATACTAGATTTAACTTTTGCTGATATCTTCTCATTCCTGCTTTCTCCTTGGGACAGTATAAACCTCAGTTAATTAATTCCTGGTGCCCTTTGTACTTACCTGCCTCACGTTGATTGTAGAAGTTCCCTCTAGCCTCAATTCACTTCTCTAGTGAGATGGCATTTATCACCTTAGAGGTTGGCATCATGACCTATGTTTCAGTTGAATCAACCTGAGAAAATAGCTAGTATCCGGTTAATATTAATATTATAAGATTAAAAGTTGTAATAGTAATATTAATATTGTAAAATTTAATAGTAATATTAACATTGGAAGATTTATTTTCAAGATGGTTGAGTAGAGATATTAGACACCAGTTTTCTTTAGGAAAAATACCCAAATTTTAGGTAAATAAATGAAATAGAATATTAAGAGGAGAGTGCTGGAACCTAGAAGAGAACTCACAGAAAGCAGGTGGGACAGAGAAAAAGCACAACTGCAAAAGCATGGTAGAGATGGGCTAAGAAACAAAAGGACGTGACATTTTGTCAAAGGGTAAGTGGCAGTCATCTTGGCTTTGCTTACCCCTGCAGTAGTCTACTGGTATCCAAGCTCTTCTACCCCCACAAATCCAAACAGTGGGGGTAGTGATTTGGGGAATTCTTCAGGACAGACCACCAGCATGCATAGATTCATTCACCATTCCCACAGACCTGAGCTGGAGTGTATCAATGGGATAGTGTTTTCACCCCATAGAACCTCAACCCTTGTGTCTGCACTTTATCAAAGCCACCATAACTATTTCCTAGCACCCACTCAGATTGTGGCAGTCACACAGGTTTGGCTAAGCACAGGGAAGCTGCAGGATTCCCAGTGGTCTAGCCCTTGTAGAGTGCAGCTCCCGAGGGAAAGGAAAGTACAGCACCCAAAGGGGACAACTTTTGGGACAAAGGAGAAAAAAGCATGCAGTTTTCTGTATCTGAGAGTTCCCAAAATACATTATAGTGATATCCTCAAGGGGAAAATAAAATCTATCCAAATAAAGTACATTTAAAAATAATAAGGAGAAACAGTTTATCCACAAGAAAAAGAAGCAGAAAGGCAATTCTGGAAGGTTGAAAAAATAGTGTTGCAGCACCCTCAAAAACATCACCTTCACTCTCTAGCAATGGATCTTAACAAAAATGAAATCTTTGAAATACTAGATAAAGAATCCAAAATATTGATTTTAAAGAAACTCCATGAGACCCAGGTGAAATTTGAAAACTAATACAAAGAAACTAGAAAAATAATTCAGATCATGAATGAAAAGCTTATCAAAGAGACATATGAAAAAAAAGCACTTTTGGAGATCAAAAATTCATTGAAAGAATTAAAAATACAGTGAAAAACATTAATAGTCTATTTATTAGGTCAAGCAGAAGAGAGAATCTTAGAGCTTAAAGATAGGTCCTTCAAATTAATCATCAGACAAAAATAAAGAAAAAAGAAGGTTAATATATAACAGAGCCTTCAAGAAGTATGAAAATATGTAAAATGGCCAAACTTATGATTGATATGTATTTCTGAGGCAGAAAAAAAGTAAAACGTTGGAAACTATTTGAGGAAATAATTGAAGAAAACTTCCTTGCTAGAAAGCCAGACATCCAGATAGGAGAAACTCAAAGAATTCCAGGAAGATAACGTTGCAAAAAGGACTTCACCAAGGCATGTATTCACCAGACTATCTAAAGTTAACAGGAATGAAAATATATATGCACCTAACACCAGAGCACCCAGATTCATAAAACAATTACTACCAGACTTAAGAAAAGAGGGAGACAGAAATACAAGAAAAGTGGAGGAATTCAAACCTCATTAACAGCACTACACAGATCATCAGGAGAGAAAATAAACAAAGAAATCTTAGTCAAATAGGACTTTATACCAAACAGATATTTACAGAACATTCTGCCTCAAAATTGTAGAATATAAATCCTCCTCCTTAGTGAAATAGAACATTTTCCAAGCTAGCTCAGAATATGTTTTGGCTGTGTCCTCACCAAATCCTACCTTGTATTGTAATAATCCCCATATGTCAAGGATGAGCCAGGTGGAGATCACTGAATCATGGGGGCAATTTCCCTCAGACGGTTCTCCTGGTAGTGAATAAGTCTCAGGAGATCTAATGGTTTTATAAAGGGCAGTTCCTCTGCACAAGCTCTCTTGCTCACCACCATGTAAGACATTCCATTGCTTTTCCTTTGCCTTCTGCCATAGTTCTGAGGCCTCGCCAGCTATGTAGAACTGTGATTCCATTAATCCTCTTTCTTTTATAAATTATCCAGTCTTTATTAGAAGTATGTCTTTATTGGTAGTGTGAGAACACACTAATATAAATCATATTTTACACCACAAAAACTCTCAGTACATTTTTAAAAATCAAAATTATATTAAGTATCTTCTTGGACCAGAATGGAATAAAACTAGAAATTAATTCCAAGAGGAACTCTTAAAACTAAAAGAAAACATGAAAATTAAACAACCTGCTCCTGAATGATCTTTAGGTCAACAATTAAATTAAAATTTTTTTTAATTATTCAAATGGAAAGAAAATAGAGACAATACATCAACATCTCTGGGAGACAGCAGAAGAAATGCAGAGGGAAATTTATAGCATTAAATGCCTACATAAATAATATAGAAAGTTTACAAACTAACAACCTAATGTTTTATCTCAAATAACTAGAGACAAAAGGACATACCAAACCCAAAACTAGTAGGAGAAAAGAAATAACAAAGATCAGAGCAGAACTAAATGAAATAGTGACAAAAAAAAAAGAACTAAGGACCAATTACATGCAAACTTGGCTCCATGAAAAGATAAATAAAATTGATATACTGCTGGCTATACTGGCTCTACAAATATACAGAATTGATATTCTGCTGGCTCTACAAAGAAAAGTAGAGAGAAGATTTAATAAGCACAATCATATATGAAAAAGGAGACATTGCAACTGATACCAAAGAAATACAAAAAAGCATCAGCGACTACTATAAACATCTTTATGTTCACAAACTAGAAAACCCAGAGGAAATGGATAAATTTCTAGGAAAACTACAATATCCCAGGACTGAACCAGGAAGAAATAGAAATCTTAACCAGCCCAATAATAAGCAGTAAGATTGAATCAGTAGTTGAAAATCTCCCGAGAAAAAGTCCAAGACCAGATGGATTTACAGCTGATTTCTATTAGACATAGAAAGAAAAATTGGTACCAATCAAAGCAAAATTCTTTCAAAAAATCCAGGAGGAGGAAATCTTCCCCAACTCATTCTATGAGGCGTGTATCATCCTGATACCAAAGCCAGGAAAGAACACAGCAAGAAAGACTAATTTTTTTATTTTTAGTAGAGACAGGGTTTCACCATGTTGGCCATGCTATTCTCAAACTCATGACCTCAGGTGATCCGCCCACCTCAGCCTCCCAAAGTGTGGGGATTACAGGTGTGAGCCACTGTGGCTGGCCTTTATTTCTCAATTTTTAAAAGTTCTTTATGAATTAGGAAGATTAGTCCTTGATAATGTAAACTGCATATATTTCCTCCCAATATGTGGTTTGATTTTTGTATTTTTTTTGTTTCTATCATAAATATATCCCTTTTTTGTTTTATTAAGTACAATAATCTGATTTACCAATCTTATCTTTAATTGGATCTGGATTTTGAGTCACAGTTTAATTGCCATTCCTAAATTATAGAAAAACTCACCATCTTTTCTTCTAATACTTGCTTACTTTCATTTTTACATTTAAATATCTGATCAGTTTAGAATTATACATTTAAATATCTGATCAGTTTAAAATTATACTAGTCTATGGTATGAAGTATTGAACTTGATAATCTTTTTCAAATGGTATCTATTTTACCTAGTCCCATTATTAAAATTCCCCTTTTGCCCAATTAGTTGAAATATCACTTTTACCATATTCAAAATGTCCAAATGGACTTGGTCTATGTTGTGACTTTTTATTTTATTCAACTGGCTTGTTCATGAATGCATTCTCAGTACCACTGCTTTACACAAAGAAGCCTCATGGACTGTGTTCATAACAGTAGGACTACTGCTCTCTCGTTGCTCTTCTCTTTTGGGTTTACTTAATTATTCTGAATTGTTCATTTTTTCATATACAATTTAAATAAATATCAACTCCCAGAGTAAAATAAGCTTTAATAAATATTAAATTCACATATTAACTTGGGAAAATGACATCTTTTTGATGTTGAATAGTCAAGTAAGAGTAAGCAAGCCCTCTTCATTTGTTCAAGTTTTTGTTCAAAATTTTCAGAGATCTTTGAAAATATAAATATAAACAAATAATAGCAACAGTTTTAGCTGATTAGCTGTAAGTTTTAGCACTTGATGCTTTATACACATTCAAGAGCAGACATAAAGATCAAAAACCTTATGAAAAATGTTAGAACTTTTGTAGTCTCTAGGTTATGATCATGAAATAATTTCAGTTTCTTCCTTTGTGTCGAATACATGTCAATAGATGTGACTATTTTTACTGCAACAGCTATTACATCTACTGGAGGACCAGATGGATCACAACCATGTGTTGCTTAATAACCAGGATATATTTTGAGAAATGTGTCATTAGGCACTTTTACCATTGTGTGACCATCATAGCTTGTTCTAATACAAACCTAGATGATATGGCCTACTATGCACCTTGGCTCATGGCAGAGCCTATCATTGCTTATGGGCTACAAACCTAAACAGTATGTTACTGTTCTGAATACTGCAGTCAACTGTAACACAATGGTAAGTATTTCTGTATCTACACATAGAAAAGGCACAGAAATATATGGCATTTTAACCATATGGGAATTCCATGTTATATGCAGTTTGTTATTGATTGAAACATCATTATATAGCCAACAACTATATTACCTATATGAGAGGAAAAAAGGATATAAGACAGATTTACAAAGAAAGCAAAGTATAGGTATAGAAAAACAAACTATAAAAACTCAAACTTCTGCACTTCTTTTCATTGGAGCTAATATGCAAAGTTGGAAAAATATATCTTCCTCCTTTATCAGATAACATTTCGCTTAACTGAACATTTCTCAAAGGCAACTTTCAAAAAATCCAGTTTTCTTCAAAGTTTTAGAGAGCTGTCTTAAAGAAGACATCTAGAAAGTAAAAACTCATGCTATACAGAGTTTGATATTTTTAAAAGGAAGAGAATTACCTGACATGGAGTTGGGTTCACTCAATTTCTTCATCCTTATTTCCCTCCCAGAATTCTATTTCCTTCCTTTGCTTCTCAGGAGTGGAAGCCCTGGGATTTTATCAGAAAAAAAAGTATTATTTCAATTTGTAAAAAACACAGACAGAAATAAGTGGTAACATATGTATCTCAAGGAAGTTTTAATATTTTTTGAAAATTTCAACTGGAATTCACTGTTAATAAGTTTCTACATATTTTAGATCTGTAGCTGCACTGAAGAGTATAAACTATTTTTTGTCTCAACGTTTGTAGTACAAATTTTATTAGATGGCAAGTCAAAACAATGTTCAAGAACCATATTGCAAATATAATCATTTCATTCTTGATTTTTGAACTTTTTCTTGACAGCCTACCAGGCTTTTGTTTGGCATAAAAATGTACTATCTGGAATCCAGAGATAGAGAACACATTAAAACACCTCCCTGACACGATCAGTTTACAGCCTCCACATTAACTGCAGAAAAACAGGGTTGCATGGAACAGATGAAAACTTCAGCAGTGGCCTGTCTACCTAGAGGAACGATTGGCCGAATCCTGAAATTATCATAATGTCCTTAATGCTTTCATGTATTCATCCTACAGGCTACTGATTCAATCATAATTATACATAACATGGTTCTATGGTAATTTCTCCTGAATTAGATGATACGGAGACAAAAACATCAAGAAAGCATTAAAAGAATCTACTGCAATGAATAGATATAAATCAATTCCGCATTGAGGAAAACATAATAAAAACATTGCTTCTCACAATGTCTACATTTTAATAAATTAAAGTGTCTGCAAATAATTTGTTCTCTGAGGAAGTAAAGTTTTACCTAGAAATTCTGCATAGCCATTTTGACTGGTGTGAGATGGTGTCTCACTGTGGTTTTGATTTGCATTTCTCTAATGATTAGTGATGTTAGGGAACACTTATGCATGGTTGGTGGGAATGTAAACTAGTTCAGCCATTGTGCAAATTAGTTTGGTGATTTCTAAAACAACTTAAAATAGAATTATCTCAAGATGGCTGAATAGGAACAGCTCTGAAGTGCAGTTCCCAGCAAAAGCAACACAGAGGATTAGTGATCAATGCATTTCCAAACAAGGTATCAGGTGCATCTCAATGGGACTATTTGCACAGTGGGTTTAGCCTCAGAAGAGTAAGCCAAGGCAAGGTAGGCCACTGCTTCACCTGGGAAGTGCAATCCCCAGAGGACCCCCCTCCATACCCAATGGAGGCCATCAGGGACTTTTCCATCCACTCCAGCACTCCTGTTCAGATACTGTGCTTCTCCCACAGTTTTTACCACCCACAGACCAGGAGGTTCCTGGGCCGAAAAAGACCACAAGTTTCCAGCATGGCTGTTTCAGCTGGTGCCATGGGTGTCTGCACAAAAACACAAATCTGGGCAGCCATTTCAACTGGCGACTGGAATGCCTGGGAGACAGAGATGCCCATTCAACTGAAAAAGAGGGAGCTGAAACAGGGAGCCAGGTGATCTGTCTGGGTCCCACCCCCACAAAGACCACCAGCAATCTGAAACACTCAGATTGAGAGTTCCACAGCAAGCACAGGGGGACCTGGGATGGTCCAGCTAGGCGGGGGCAAGGGTGTCCACCATTACCCAGGCAGTCTGCCATTACTGAGGCAGTCCACATTACTGAGGAAGTCTGCCATTACTGACGCAGACCACCATTACCGAGGCAGTTCTAACTGTACTTCTGTAAAGAAAACCACAAGGAAGTTTACACAGCAGCTGGGCAGAGCCCACAGCAGCTCAGCAATGCCTCTGCTGGCAGACTGGGATTTGACTACCTCCTGGCAGGCAGGCATCTCTGAAAAAAAGCAGCATGTCAGGAACTTATAAATAAAGCTCCACCTCCCCAGGAGAGAGCACCTGGGAAAAAGAGGCAGTTATGAGTTCTGCTGCAGCAGACTTAAATGTACCTGCCCAGCAGCTCTGAATGAAACAATGGAACTCCCAGAACAGCACCTGAGCTCTGATAAGGGACATACTGTCTCCTCAAGTGGCTCCCCAACCCCCATATATCCAAAGAGGCACCTCATAAAGGAGAGCTCTGGCTGATATCTAGTGGGTACCCTTCTGGGATGAAGATAACAGAAGAAACTGGCAGCAACCCTTACTGTTCTGCAGCCCCCACAGGTGATTCCCAAGTAGGCTGGGTTTGGAGTAGACCTCCAGCAGTCTTGCAGCAGAGGGGCCTGACTGTTGAAAGGAAAACTAAAAAACAGAAAGAAATAGCTTCAACATCAACAAAAAGGATGTCCACTCAGAGACCCAATCCAAAAGTCATCAACCACAAACACCAAAGGTAGATAAATCCATGAAGATGGGAAGAAATCATTGCAAAAAGAATGAAAATACCAAAATCCAGAACACCTCTCCTCCAAGGGATCACAACTTCTCACAAGGAAGGGACAAAACTGGATACAGAATGAGTCTGATGAATCAACAGAAGCAGGCTTCAGAAGGTGGGTAATAACAAACTTCTCTGAGCTAAAAGAACCTGTTCTAACCCAATGCAAAAAACTAAGAACCTTGAAAAAAGGTTTGACAAAATGTTAATGAGAATAAACAGCAAGAACTAATATAAACAACTTGATGGAGCTGAAAAACACAACACAAGAACTTCGTGAAGCATACATAAGTTTCAATAGCCTAATAAATCAAGCAGAAGAAAGGATATCAGAGACCGAAGATTAACTCAATGAAATAAAATGAGAAGGCAAGATTAGGGGAAAAACAGTGAAAAGAAATGAACAAAACCTCCAAGAAATATGGGATTATGTGAAAAGACCTAATCTACATTTGATAGGTGTATCTGAATGTGATGGGAAGAATGAATCCAGCTGAAAAATACTCTTCAGGATATTTTCCAAGAGAACATCCCCAATCTAGCAAGGCTGGTCAACATTCAAGTCCAGGATATAAAGAGAACACCACAAAGATATTTCTCAAGAAGAACAATGCCAAGGCACATAATGGTCAGATTCACCAGGGTTGAAATGAAGGAAAAAATGCTAAGGTCAGCCAGAGAGAAAGATCAGGTTACCCACAAAGGGAAGCCCATCAGACTCACAGCAGATCTCTCAGCAAAAATTCTACAAGCCAGAAGGTAGTGGTAGTCAATATTCAATATCTTTAAAGGAAAGAACTTTCAGCCTATGATTTCATATCCATCCAAACTAAGCTTCATAGCAAAGGAGAAATAAAATCCCTTACAAACAAGCAATTGCTGAGAGATTTCATTATCAGCAGGCCTTTCTTCCTGAAAGAAGCACTAAACATGGAAAGGAACAACCAGTATCAGCCACTCCAAAAATGTACCCAATGGTAAAGAGCATCAATACAATGAAGAAACTGCATCAACTAATGGGCAAAACAACCAGCTAGCATCAAAATGGCAGGTCAAATTCACACATAACAATATTAACCTTAAATGTAAATGGGCTAAATGCTCCAAACAAAAGGCACAGACTGACAAATTGGATAAAAAGTCAAGACCCATTGGTGTGCTGTATTCAGGAACCCATTCTCATGTTCAAGGACACATATAGGCTCAAAATAAAGGGTTGGAGAAAGATTTACCAAGCAAATGGAGAGAAAAAACAAAAAGCAGGAGTTATAATCCTAGTCTCTGATAAAATGGACTTTAAACCAACAAAGATCAAAAGAGACAAAGAAGGGCATTACGTAATGGTAAAAGGATTAATGCAACAAGAAGAGCTAACTATCCTAAATATATACACACATAATACAGGAGCACCCAGATACATAAAGCAGGTTCTTAATGACCTACAAAGAGACTTAGACTCCTACACAATAATAGTGTGGATATTAACACTACACTGTCAATATTAGATCCACAAGGCAGAAAATTAACAAGGATATCCAGGACTTGAACTCAGAGCTGGACCAAGTGGACCTAATAGACATCTATAGAACTCTCCACCCTAAATCCACAGAATATACATTCTTCTCAGCATCACATTGCACTTACTCTAAAATTGATCACATAATTGGAAGCAAATCACTCCTCAGCAAATGCAAAAGAACAGAAATCATAACAAACAGTCTCTCAGATGACAGTGCAATCAAATTAGAACTCAGGATTAAGAAACTAACTCAGAACTGCACAACTTCATGGAAACTGAAAAATTGGCTCCTGAATGTCGACTAGATAAACAGTGAAATGAAGGCAGAAATAAAGATGTTCTTTGAAACCAACACAGAGTTTCCTAATTAGAGAAATGTGTGGAGGTTTCGATTGAGAGTGTGAATAAATTCTTTATGTCCTCCGATTTTGCAAAAATTCTCACATATACATATCTATATACACACCCATACATATATGCATACACTCTTGCACACATTAGCTGAATTATAAATTAAATTAAAATTTTAAATTAAATGATTTTTAATTTTGATATAATTGACATAAATACTTAAGGCATATAATTTTATAAGAAACACTCATCAAGTCATCATAATTAAGAAAATGAACATATCAATTTTACCAAAAAGTTTTCTTCTACCTTTTTATATTTCCTGCCTATTGCCCCATCTTCTGTTCATCCTAACACTTGGTTTCTGTCATATAGATTAATTTATATTTTTGTGATATTAAGTGAATATTGTCATATAACATATACAAGCATATCCCATTTTATTCCACTTTATTGTGCTTCACAGATACTGTGATTTTACAAATTGAAGATCTGTAGCAACCTGGTGTGTCAAGCAAGTCTATCAGCACCATTTTCCAACAGCATGTGGTCACTTCTTGCCTCTGTGTCACATTTTGGTAATTCTCATAATATTTCGAACTTTTTTATTATTATCATACCTGCTATGGTGATCTCTGATCAGTAATATTTGATGTTACCATTGTAGTTGACTTAGAACACCACAAACCATGCCCATATAAGACAGCACACATAATCAATGAAGGTTGTGTGTGTTCTGACTGCTCCATTGACCAGCTGTTCTCTTATCTCTCTCCTCAGGCCTTCCTATTCCCTGAGATACGACAGTATTGAAATTAGG